TTAACGAAACATTGTAACTAAATTCACATAACGTCAAAGTCCTCTGGAATTATAAAATGAAAGTAATACCGTGGAGTGGGGTATTCGCGAAGATTTAATGTTCCGCTTCCTTTATTTCGCTCTTTTTGCTTCGAAAGTTGGTGTTACGGCTCATTTAGCAATTTGGTTAGGAAAGACACTGTCGTATAAGGATGCGTTAGCTTAGTGCGTAATTGCGATGGGGGTTGATGCGAGAGAGGCTTGTGGAATGAGAGGTAACTTTTGCAATCACGGGGAGGGTTTGAGGTTTAAGTCGCTTTTAATAGCCAAGCAGCTGTCGCCGGATCTGTTTGCCCCCTTTTTATGTTAGACGTCTTCGACGAATAATGGTAGGGAATAATCTGGAACGAAAGAAGCGACCATCCTTTGCAGTCCTTCGATAATAAACCGTTTTTAACTCGTTCTGTGCTTCTTCTCTTTGCGTACCACCAAACCGTATCCACCGTCATTTTCAACACAACCAGTGAAAGTGCAAACGTAATTAATAGGTACATTCCTCCGATGATGCTTGCCTCGCCGTGAATCATCGAAGCATTTCAAAATAAACAGTTTCAACGTTTATTACGTTTTAAAAGTTTCGCAAATATGAAATTCATGCGATTTGTTACAAAAATGTTGCACGGCGTTTTATAGGATTGAATGTGTTCAGTTGTGGTTTTATTAACTCTAGCCCTCGTCAATTAACTACCGCACTCGTCAGAATGATGGGTTTTTGTTTTCTTATTTCGCAATTGTTGATATCTGGAAATGTTAAAGATTTGAAATGATTTTGAAAATAAATAGTTTCACTTGAACACTGTAATGAATACGTAGAGAAACTGAAAATAATCTATTGATACCATTGTTAGAAGGATTTCATATTAATCGTATTAGACTAATGTAATATTAATTATTAGATGTATCATTAAAGAGACTACTGTGTGCAAGACATTATTCGTTTTTAATTTTATTCTTATGCGTGATAAAAAATACTGAGAGTTTACGACGGAATTCGAAATTAAATTTGACTTGTTAGGTACATGTTAGGATTTACTTTTTATTTGCAGTTTCTAGCACAACTTTTTGAATGGATTGTAATACTGTTTGTTTCATGATGCGGATTAAAAACGCCTGTAGATAGGCAATCTGCTTGTAAGGATGCATAACTGGTTTACTTCTTCCATAGTGCTCGAATATTTCACTAGAACTATTTTCCTATGTTCGTTAACATTAACTTATGACATGAAGATTACAGTTTCTTAACGCTAAATATTGTAAAAGGAATGAAGAATATTTTGAAAGAGTTTGGGATGTTGTGAAATAATAATGTTTGCTTTTTTGTCTTTAGAAATGTTAATGCAAATTTTACTTTTATAATTTATATACGTAAAAACAAGATCTTTTCCAAGAAGTACTGTTTAGTATAAGTTTACAAATATTTACATAATAAATGGCACGGTTACCATCTAATTATCTAAACTAGATAATTCGAAATTATTGATTAAAGTCTAAGAATAAAGGGTGGGACGCTTTAAAAAATATTTTGAAATTAGAAATTAGTTGATTAATGAGCTTGATAAAGGAAAAGAAATGTATTATTTTTATTAATTTTATTAGTGAAAAGTAAGTAATATTCTGCTGAATTTTGTACCTTTTAATTATTTTAATAAGTTTGTAAACTGATAATTATTTTAAGAATTTCATAATGCGATCTACTTTTCTCCACAAAGGGTATAATTAAGGTGAAAACGTTGAATTAATATTTTCATTCACGCTCTTGGTGATGAATGACAATTATATTAAAAAAAGTTTTCTTCTTTTCAATGAATTGAGGTTCGATTTTAGTCGGTATGTCATTAGTTTAATGAATGAAATTGGTATTAGTAGCAAGTTATGTCTACGACGTTGTCATCAAGTAGAATAAAATTATTTTACAAAAACGTTCTATGTTCTTAACACTAAACGTACCGGTACTTTGTATGTAAGTACCTAGTCCTATCGTAATCAGTAAAATAACTGGTTAGAAAGCGAAGGTATACAAGTTAGACGATAAATTTTTCTTAATGGAAACAGAAACAAAGGGAAATCCGAAAATTGAGAAACTGATTAACCAACCAACATAGAGATTGATATCAAGTTAAATGAACGAAAGAAAATGTAGAATTTTAAATAAAAATTAAAAACCGGTCATTAGACCTGTCGCGGTGCGTTTAGTGTTAAACGTTGATTCAAGAATCTGCACGAACTTTTTCAAGTACCTAATACATACTTTTAAATGGCTTTTCTCGTGTATACACTTTTCTGCCCGCAATACAGTTTTTTGGCGTAACCAAAGGTAGCATATACATCGAAACACAAATCGAGATAAACGAACATAAGTAACTCTGTAAAAAGAGGGCGGATAAGTTCGAACCGAACTTAACGATGTAATGAACCGTCTGACAGAGGTTTATTTATCGACGATGAGAGCGAGATGGAGGATACTTAGGGAACAAAGATGAAACGGGAGGCCGGCGTTCATTATTCTGAACAGGTATCTACGTACTAATTTTCAGTGTAAATTGCCGAAACAGTATCGGACATAATTTGCTCCCATTATTATATGAACCATTAAATCGGGAAATATCTTACCCAGGTATTGACGTTATGGAAAGCGTTTAAATAATTCGAGGCAAAGTATTGGCTGACTTGGCTATATAACCGCAGAAACCATAAAGCTATGAAACAATGAACACTAATTAATATTTTCGAGAAGTTCGACAGTTTTATTACGCTTAACAATACCTCACTATCTAATATACATCTAATACAAACCAACCTTTTCCAAAAATTCTGTAATCTTCCTTAATGATTAAGAGAAAACCAGAAGGTTATCGTTTTGCAATTCGGTTATTTGGTCATTTTCAGAGACAGTTAATCATTCGATAAATTGTGGGAAACTCGTGTGAAATGTGTAAACTCCAAATTATAAAGAATCTTATATGATTAAAAAGGCTAAGTGAAGAATGTTTAGAATGGAAAATAAGAAAGAATTCGAGTTAAAGAAAATTTAAATTTAAATTAGTAATTTTAGAATTAAAGTCCTAAAGAATTTGATTTTGACAATGATATATGAAACGATCAGACAGTGATGTAATTGTAATTAATTGAGATTATATACTGAATTATAGGTAACTTGTAAGCATGAAGATTATATGTTAATTATATTACATTCTATATTTATGTATCTATATTTCTATTGATATCACATTACACAGTGTATAATGACTGAGAAGTGGATGTGACCTTTATGAATGAATAAATGGAATGAAAAGTACTGACTTAAACTGTTAACGGAAAATGAACCGGCTCTTTAGGCCTTTCTAGATACTTTCCTTGATATTTCGAATAGTAACTTTGGCTTCTGGAATAATATATGATCTCGCTTTCTCTTCGAAATTAATTACTAGATTGACTACGTGAATGTTTCAACGTTTCCTACACGCATGTTTGCTACATTTCTTGTTCTATATTATTGGGATTCAATTCACAATAAATAGTTATTAATAGTAAACACCCCGTTAAATTGTTGCAGACATTTATAAGTCGACTGTAGATCTTGATGTAAACTTAAATTTTTAAGAACGTAATGAGAAAAATAGAATTACGATAGAAATAGGTTTCTCTTAAAAACTACTAACTATAAATGTCACTACACCTTGAATATTTTCTACACTTTTTCGTATCGTGTGCATTTTGTACAATTATGCTCTCTCAAATTTCCCATAAATACATAAGAATCCGCAGTCTGTTTATAAGCTTCTTAATTAATGTTTTAGAAAACATTTGAAATAATTGGATAATTTTTATTTAAAGCTAAAGTAACAGAAAAATTAAAAAGGAAATGATAAAATATAAATAATTATTCCAGTGAAAATGACAAATACGTTTATTTGGATATAGAGACACATGCAAATAGATTTAAAGATCTTTCTTTTGGAAAAGTATTTCTTTACGATATATTAATGCAATACACATGCAATTTATCGTACACACGTGTAATTGCTTTACAGCAATTATAGCTTACTTTCCAAAAAAAGAATTGGAGTGATATTACGGTAGGGTAGATATTTCTTACGATCGATAGTATGACTTTTCATTCATAAAACAGGCTTTAATTAAAACTTATTTTGCAGCATGAATGAAACGAACAGTGGCTACAATTTTATTATAACGTTAATTTGTTTTAACCAATGAAACCTTTGATTAAAGTTTTAATGAAAAATGTAAAAATACAAACCATGCTTTGCAGAATATCTCTCTCCTGATTGAATGTTCATGAATAACAGATATTTTACGCGTCATTAACTTTTTCAGATAATTGCATCAGTCGATTTATACGAATCGCTATGTACATCCAATAAATATAATTAATACATACCATGAATTAATAAGAAAACAGCTAAAATGTAGTTGCTACAAGATTAACTTATACATAAGACATTTAATTACTATGAAAGTGTTCTGCATAAGACACTCGGTTATTTTCACGTCATTAAAGAAAATACGGGTTACTGGGTGTGTAATTATTTTGTAAGAGAAAGTAAATCACAATGAGAGAAATTAAATGCGCTAGTAAATTTACATTCCACTGATACCGTGATTCTGATTAAACGATAAATTTGTTGTTAAATTTAAATATAATTCATAATATATGTAATGATAAATCCACTTTTTAATGTGTTATCAGGAGATATAGAAAATAATTATATTAAATGTTAATTCAATAAATTATTATCATTTTCCTTCTATCACAGAACACTGAAAGAAGAAATAATTATTGTAACTAGTTTCATTCACGTTGTACACTGAATGGTAGACATTTTCCCTTGCATACATTACATAAATTATAAAAGAAAATAAATTTATTTTTAGTGTGTTTATTAATTACACTTTCAAATTATATATCGCCTATACTTATTTTTAATTATATCGTAAAATAATAACATGTAAAGGAATTTTAAAAATCATCTTTTAATAGGAAATATCTTCTCGTAGTTTAATTATATAATCTATATATAACCCAGTTTGAACACTGAAATAGTCAGAACAATAATTAAATATTCGATTAGAGTCTCATGTTTTCAATAAAAATTATTCTCAGAAATACTATTTGTGGCGATTAATTGTTAACTTGCGATTTTGGTGTTTTACACAATCCACTGTATTCTCTGATACATTTTAATTCCATAACTATCAAGATCAATTTTATCATTCAACAATATTGAAACGAAATAAATTATAGATAAAATAATTCAGACACTTATGTAATTGTAAATGTTTTATGCAACTTTGTGTTCTTTTATTCTGCTGTTCAACAAAAAATATAAATACCAACAACACCATTTTGTACAGGAGGTGGTTCATTAAAACCGACCACGAAGGAGGATGAAGGATTTTAACGCTAGAACACCCGAGCGTTTAATATGATTAATATGTCCTTATAAAAATTGTAACAATAGATATTTTTTTGGTTTCTTCATATATTAATTATAGCATTGAAGTGAAACTATTTATTTTTCAAATAATTCCAAATATTTAACACTTTTAAAATATCTAACGATTGTTCTAATACTAAAAGCTCTAGATTCAAATTAAAAATTTCGCTCGAAAAAGATATAAATACTAACAACTTTTATACAAACAGTAATTCATTACAACTTGTCCAAAAAACGAAGGCGAAGAATTTCAAAACCTCCGAGTTCTAATCCAAAATTTCGCTTAAAAAAAATACCAATAACTTTCGTACAGAGAATAGTTCGTTAAAACTAACCCACAAGCGAAGCCGAAGAATTTCAAAAGCTCCGCGCGTTCAAGTCCAAAATTTCGATCCAGGAATAAACCAGCGAAATCAACTTCGATTTCCTTATACCGGCCAGCGGAATCGCATTATCTGCGATGAACGTATGCTTTTCAATGTGATCAACTATAGATTCCCGTGCTCCCTTGTCGTCGTCCGGCGGTGTTCACACTCTGATTGCCATCCCTGTGGCCGGTTCTTTGCCCAACGAAAAACGAGTATTTGAAGTAGGAGGAATTAGAGTAGTAGTAGGAGGATTCCACCTCCACGACGACCGGCAAGTCCTGCAGGACGGCTCGACGGACACCTGTAACCACGCAGACTCCCTGCAGCACGGGACGATGCGAAGAAACTTCCCCGATAGAGAACTGTATCGGTCGCAGATCATTCAGAATACGGCGCGTTGACATGTGCTGGTGCCGATCGATCTAAGATTAACCGTGAAGTGCCAGTGAATTTGAAATCGGTAAATTCCCTCGGAAATATTTTGCCTCTGCCCACCTTCGACGACGCGGCTCGATGAAACGCAATCTTATCAGGCTTCCAACCGGATCGTCTCGTTGTTCGATCCGTTTGCAATGTTAACGGTACGCAACGAAAGAAATCAAATAGTTACGCGTGATTTGTAGCCAGCATATATCATTCCATCGACACCGGCAATTAAAGAAATCACCGACGTACACGCGACGTGCGCCTCGTTCGAGAATTTATATTTTCCTCGTGCTCCTTATCGATACCTCAAACGTAGGCGTGTTCGCGACGTTTTGTTTATCTGATTCTTGTTACTCTTTTACCGAAAGAGACCGTCCACGTCGAAGAACGATCTTGGCGACTGAGACTTTACTCGAACACTTGAAAAGTGGCCCGCAAATCGTTCACTGACGTTTCAAGTATGGAGTCATGGGGGCTAGCGCAGTTGCTGGTAAAACGATCCACCGATCATCGGGAAAAACATAGTGGTCCTTGAAACACCGGGACACATCGTGGAGAAACTTTTCTTCGATGTTGAACGAGCGGTGAAGAGGAAGAAGCCCGTTGCGCGGAAACGCAGGAAAGAACGCCGATCTTCTAGAATGTAAAGTGACTGAAAATGGTGGTAACGAAGAGAAGCGGTGCTAAGATTTGGTTGACGTTGCTTCTGTTGTTCGTGCAAGGTGGCCAGTGCATCAAGTGGCTGTGAGTACATCAATAATTCTGTTACTTTATTAATCTTCAGTTTGTTTAGGGCGTCTTCGAGGATACTCTAAATTTTTCTTCATTTTTATTTATTTTCCTGCATGGCTTCTGATACCTTTTATTTAGATTCCATTCAATTAGTAAAATAAATAAATGATTACAATAAACTCAGCTATTTTTGTAAGATCCTTTATATTAGGTGCATAAGTTTGAACATCTATAATAGTTAAGGGTTGATGATTTAAACAATAATAAATAATCTCAACAAACATCAGCTATTTGTAGGATCCTCTATATTAGGTGTATAAGTTTGAATATCTATAGTAGCTAAGGGTTAGTGATCGAAAAATAATAAATAATACTCAATAAACAACAGTTATTCGTAGGATCCTCTATAGTAGATGTATAAGTTTGAACGTCTATAGTCGTTAAGGGTTGATAATCCAAATACTAAATAAATAATCTCAATAAACATTAGCTACTTGTAAGATCCTCTATATTAGACGCATAACTTTGAACATCTATAGTAGTTAAGGGTTAAAAGATCTTCAGTATTAACATAGATACTTTAATAGAAAACTTTCAAATTTCTAGTCCTCCCTTACCACTTGAAAAACTAAAATGCAACGTTTAAATTTAACAGTTCCAACTCGTCCAAGATTCTCGAACGATTCGGTACACAAACATCCTCGGTATTCTCACGTTCGTTCGCCAGGGCTCCAGAGGAGCCCGAAGATTAATGTAGGTTCGTTAATGAGAAACAAATAGGTTAGTAGCCGAGAAGGATGCGCGTATTGGGGAGAACGAATGGCAGCGAAACAAGAATCATTTACTCTATTATGAAGATTTCTTTTCTACTTGTTTCCTTTCGCGTGCGAGGCCCGCGGGAACAATAAGTCTCAACGAGGATTTATCGCTGGAGGGACCCTCGTGCACGATGTCGAATTTAAGTTTATTAGAGAATTGCTTGTTCCTTGATTAGCATCGACAATCTTCAAATACAAGCCTGTTACACAAAGAAATCTGCACAACCCAGGTATATAGTACTTCAACCACCAATTAGTAGAATTCATTTCCTAGAACGTGTCACTTCGAAGATTCCCTCTTCTTTCATATCCAGCTGATTAATCGTTTTCCATCGAGCCTCAAGAAATATTCTCTTCCACCGGATTCCTGCTTTAATTCCATTCTCCGTATCAATTAATCCATTCCTTTCTTCCCTTCACCCTCCCCCTACCCCTCCCCATCGGTCGGCAGTTTCTTATGAATCATCGCGTCTTCCTCCCCCGGCCATTCACTGACCGCTCACGAACCATGAAGATATGCCATTATCATTCACGCCGGAGGTGATCGCCGGTTAAAATCTCCCTTATATCGCGTAGCTGCTCGTCGACGTTAATTGTCCTGTGATTCGAGGCGAATTTCACCGGGGCATGGAACAGAGGGGGCGGCCGGGGAAGGGGCCGGAAAAGCGGAAACAGAAAGAGAGTAGGCTGCTAGCCGGCGGATGATGAATGGCGGAGTGATGGTGGTTTTGCGTGCGAAATCAAAATACGAGCGTGGCGGGAAGAAAACTACGAAAGGAAGACAGCCAGGGCTGCCGTTCGAACAGGGTGGAAAATTAGGGGTTGCCTGCGATTCGTGATTTATACACGCCGTTTCCAAGAAGGCTCCTCCACGGATCTACACGGGTTCTAGACCGGCCAGTCCCATTCGGTCCCCTCTCTTTCTCTTTTGTTTATAATCATCGGCGCTAGAGACCAAGACAAATCTGGAGGGCGATTTCGCCCGATTCCGTCTCTGACTCGTTTTTATTACTACGTGGGGCCGACTGACATCGATCCTGTCACTTTCAGTTCC